TTTCCTGGACAGAGAAACGGGCCTCTTACTGTCTAGGTGCAGAGCCAACATCATTGCGAGAGTTTGGAGGGAAGTGAGAGAGGGCATCAAGACATTTAACCCCCTTGGCTGCCCCTCGAACTGTTATCGAATGTGACATGAAGCGTTTCCCCCAAACAGGCACAGATGCAGAACGCAGCTACCTTTTATCATTTTTAAAAATCAAGTCCTGATCCTCATGGTGCTGCCTCGAAGTGGACAGAGCAGTAAAAAGGTGGCCATAGGTCGGGGTGGACCCCACCTAGGAGAGGAAGGTGTTGATCATGAAAGTCTTCCTGCAAACCACAGAGATGACACCAGGAACCCCAAGGATCACACCATGTGCTCTGGCGAGGTGGTGTCCTGTCTCCTCCATCAAGTGTCTCTCACGGTCCAGCCCTGGCTGGGCAAGGTGGATGGGAGCAGTGCCTATGAATGGGCTGTGGGCTGAGAAAGATGTGGACTCTTATCTCTTCTGACCTCGAGTCCACCCCTGAGCCACAGCTGCTGAAGCTACCAGCTCGAGAAGGCAGAACTTGGTACCTGACAGCCCTGGACACCAGGAGTCCTCTAGAGTCCTCCTGGGGACTGTGCATGGTGTGGGAGTCCCCTGCTGGGGCTCATTCCCAGGCTGTGTCCTCATCTGTGACCTGGCTATGACAGTCAACCATTGTGCTTCAGTCTCTCCACAATTTCGACCACAGAGGGGGCCACAGGGGTGGTTAAATGTCAGTGCCATGAGGGATCAGCACAGTCCATGCTGGGCCCCGGTGCAGGCCCTCTGCCCTCTGCCACCCAGTGTCTGTGGGGACCACAGCTTCTCCTTGCTCCAAAGGGAAGAAACCTGCAGAGCTGGTGTGATCAGCTCCCCTACTTTCTTCCCTCTCCCTCCTTCTCTGCCACCATCCCCAGGCCACTGCCCATGCCTGGTCCGAGGGACTCTGCTCTCTGAGCTAGATGGCCACCACTTCTGGGAGACTGTTGTGGGGAACCCCAGCCTTCCTAGGGGACCAGAGTAATCCTCAATGCTTCAAGCCCAAAGGGGTGATTCTGAGGGTGAAGGCTCAGTGTGGAAGTGGTAAGGGCATTCGGGGAGGTGAAGGTCAAAGTCTCCCTAGCTCCAAAGACTCACACCCTGGACCAAAACTGACTGGATGGATGCAGTCATGTCTTCCCACCAGGTGCTATGAACCTAAGCTTCTCGACCTTACCACGTGGTGACAGCCTTTTGTACTGATGCGCCTCTGCCTGGCTGTCAATTATTGTCAGAACCAGTGGTGATGCACATGAAGAGTCAATGTGGCTGACACATGGGGTTAGGGCTTAATATTTTGGATGGATTAAAACCCAAACATAAAGGAAGTGATGTTTTTGAGGGGCAGTGATGCACTGAGCCTGTACTGGGCCAGGGCATCCTGCACCCCAATGCTCCCTGTTTCCAAGGATGAGCAGGGAGCTGCCTGGGTGCCCAGCAGTGCATGAAGGGTTGCACCCTGACTTAGTTACTTTCTCACTGCTGAAACAAAATACCTATCATCTACAAGTTAAAGAAGGAAAGGTTCATTTTAGCTCACAGTTTATAGAGGTTTCCATCCATAAGGTGACTGGCTCCATGGTAGGGTGGCATGGCAGAAGGGTGTGCCAGAGGAGAAATAGTCCGTGGCATGGCAGGCAGGAAGCAGCAGCCTTTCTTTTTCTTCCCCTTTTTTTTTGGTACCGGGGATCAAACTTGGGACTTTGCATTTGTGAGGCAGGCAGCAGAACCACTGAGCTAAATCCCTGGCCCTCTTCTTTCCCTTTTTATTCCATCCAGTCTATAAGCCTATTGGTTGGTGCCACCCACACCTAGAGTGTGTCTTCTTTCTTCAGTAAGTCCATCATCCACACCCATGATCCAGACAATTCCTAAAAGCTCCACCTATGAGCACATGAGGCTTTGGTGGGACATCTAGATATAAGACGTAACACAGCCCCATAGGCTGCACCTCAAAGCAGAAGCATGAGGGGTAGGGCATCTGGAGCCAGGAAACAGGAGACCTGGTGTCTAACCCCAAGCAGGTGGTTGGGGCTGATGCCTGTGTGTTCACATATAGAATGAGGATGTCTTCACAACATTGCTCCCAGGGTGAATGAAGTTGTTTTAATCATTTTATTTGCTTATTTATAGCAGTAATACATGCACATGAATACAGTGTCAGGCTGTTGGTCAGTCAGTCTCCCTCCAGCCAGCCCTGGGCTCACACCCTGAATGCTGCTCCACAGCCACACAAGCTTCCTTCTGGTGATTCCCATCGTGATCTGAGATCATTCTCTTACACAACCCTGTGTTGAACTTGCCAAGTTCAAATCACATTCACCCCTCTTTCTGACTCCACCACAACACTGATTGTATCACACTTACCTTGTCTCTTCTATGGATTTTTGCACATATTAACATCACCTTCAATTGTTCTTGTGGTTACTTTTGTGGCCATTTCTTTATTTTGTGATTCATCAATTTTTAAACAGTATCTATTAACTTGTCATTAGAATGAAAGTGCCCCAGAGCTGGGGATGTTTTTCTTTGGTTCCTCCATCTCCAAAGGACTCAGAATGTCTCAACACAGGCAGGTGCGTACCTGGATGACTCATGACACAGATGACAGGTGCTTATCTGGATGACAGCAACACAAGGTATCAGCACACCTACACCCCTTCCCCAAACTGTAGCGTTCACTTTTACCTTAAGGTTGATGAAATTTAATGTTCTAGATCTCCCACATTTTGTCTGTTCGTCAATTTGAAAAACAGTACACAGAATGAAAAGTACAGTGATCATGAAAATATTATGTGCTACAGAACCCAGTAGTATGGACAAATCCACATAACAGCTCTGGAGATCTTGTGGGGAGAGTGTTCCAGAAGCCAAGGTCCAATGGGGTCTCCTTCTTTACACAGCCAAATGCCACTGGATAGAGATGTCGGCTGTGGTTCCTCACCTCCTCACCACATCACCAGACAAATCCAGCCACATATGAGCTCATTTTAAGGATTATCTGGGACCACCCCACTGCGAGGCCCTAGCTACAAACCAAGATGTTAGGTGAGCCTGACTGTTCTGTTCGGAGGGGTCGAATCCGGCCTTATCGGCAGGTCTGGTGTTTCCAGATTTAAGGCCTGGATTTACAGTGAAGCCAATGGTGCCAAGATTCGAGGACCCCCCCACCCGATCCTGGTGTGAGAGGGACCTTGCAGCTCACAGTCTTTGCATGTTTTCAGAAGTAAGGTCTTGTAACAGAATCAGCTCAGCTACCATCTTTTCTTTCCATTTCTGTCTGTCACCTCCCTTCCAGTCAGAAGACCCTGGAGGGACCATGGGCATTCTGGAGATCTACATAAAGGGTGACAGAGTTGGGGACACACATTGGGTTGGACTTCTTGGGGAGGGTGTGTTAGCGTGTTTGCCTTTGTTTCCCTGGCGGGAATGGGCAGAAATGGCAGGGACAGCCCTCCCACCCATGGTGGACTTCTCCCTCAGCACAGTATAAAAGGGCGGCCATTTTCCTGTGCCCTCAGGCACCTGGCACTATGCAACAGGAGGACAGGAGTCCTGCAGGACAGGAAAGTGACAAAGCCATGTGTTGGAAGAGGCCCACTCTCACAAGTCCGAACTGGTCAGTGGAAGACTTAGTTCTCCTTAACCCCTAACCCAAGCCATTACTCCAAATGTACTCAAAAACCAAACTCAAAACTTGACCAACCATCCTAGATGGCTGAATTGCCTTTTTCTCACTCTATAGAAAAATAATACTTAAAATCATCATTATCTAAAGATGCCCTGCTTTGAGAAGAATAGGCAGACAAAAATGTGGGAAAATAATACAGAATGTGCCAGGGTTAAATTATGTGATGTTTGTGGCATTCGATAGCTTTTGAAAACTTTAGTAATATGTTGTGATTCCTTTTCTCATTCTAAGTAAAAACTTACATTTGTAACACATTAGAATTTGTAACAAAATTCACCATCTGTAACATGACTCTGTTTGTTTGGGTTTTTTTTTTCCCTAAAATCCAATTGGATTGGTGGCGTCAGGCTAACATCGCCTGGGTCCGCCCTGGGCATGGAGTTAGGGGTGTTTGGATCCCTGCCACTGGCTTATCTGTGGCATCTGCAGCAGTGTGGGGTGCCCTGAGGAAGCCCGTGATGGGTTGCTTTGTGCCCTCCTCCATCCCTGCCAGATTCCCAGGTCATTCTTCAGCTCCCACGTCACATGTCCCCACTTCCTGCTGCCTGGGACCTCCTCACTGCTCACCAGTTCTTTTCCAGTCATGAGTCTTCTGTCTCCTGTCCAGCCGGGCAGACCCAGTCCCAGCTCCTTGTGGAACCCGGCCTCTGGGCCACGTGGACTCTTCCCCTCCAGGAAGGACAGGGCTTGGTTACTAATCAAGGAGCTCATTCCAGGTCTTCACTGCCCTGGATTCTGGAAGAGAGGCCTTAAACATGTCACTGTGCACAAGGCAACTTTACAAGGTGAGAGAGAAATGTCTCTAACTCCTTCGGAGGTGGTGATACTTGGGACTTTTTAGCACTTGAGGTCTCAACAGTGACCTAGACAGGCAGGGAGACCAGTGGTCCTTTCTCCCATCAGTGTGACAGCTTGCCTGGTCCCTTGATAATTTCACTCCATCGAGGCTGAACAAACACAAGGCCTTAGAGTTAGACACAATGTGCTTCTTGACTCTGCTACACATTGGCTGAGTGTCCTTAAACCAGTCACTTCCAGCTTGGCGCACATTTAGGAAACCAGGAGTTGGATTATATGATATCGCCAGTCCCCCGTGCTATAAATTAGGAGACTCTGTGAATCTGTGGACTTGCCGAATCCCAACTAATTAGAGCTTGACCGTTCATGTTTTCAAATGATTAGAATTTATTTCAGTCAGCCTCAAGAAGTAACAAGTTTGCATCGGAGGAGGAGACAGAGATAAAAATCAGGGTTCAGAACAATCTTTTATAACATGATTGCTATATCTTTAACAGTCTATGGTCATCAGATACCTACAAAGGCTATTAGACCTTAGTAACTAAGGGAGGAAATCAATAAAGTAATTTAGAAAGATTAACACCTGAAAGGTGGGATTTTTTTTGTTGTTATTTTTATTTTTTTTAACCAGGAAAGAAAAAACTGCTTCCAAAGCTTCTCATCCTCTATAGATTCCAGTTAACAATTCATCGGTGTCCAGTTATCTCCGAAGTGAATGAACTTCCTCCCTCCCGCCCTTTTCTCCTCTTTCTGCCTGGTGACCAATAGGCCCTCTCTCCACTTTCTCTGTTAAAAAATAATTAGCCCAGTCTGTGTGGTGGCCCAGGCCTGTAATCCCAGCACTCTGGGAGGCTGGGGCAGGAGGACCACAAGTTCAAACCAGGTCTGGGCAACTTACCAAGACCCTATCTCAAAAGAAAAGAAATGAAATAAAATAAAAATGGCTGAGGAGGTAGCTCACTCAGCGTGAAGACCCTGGATTCACCGAGGGCATCTTTGAAGGGGCTGTGTGCATGAACTTCAGAGAGACAGGGAATACATGGTCTTGAACACTAGTTCTACCTTCAGGGATTTTGTCACTGTGTGAAGGACTGAATGGACTGATGTAAACTAGGACAGCCACGATGTCACCACCTCTGCAGTTTGTCTGTCATCAAAACATCACTGTATGGTGCTACTTTGCCCAGGATCTAGGGCTCCAGGGAGGAATGACAGCACAGGCTGGACATCTGGACCTGGTTGGGACCAGAGACACTTTGCTGGGGTGAGAGGTCCTCCAAGGCCTTGCTGAGTCCATGCAGTGCCCCTGAAGATTCTCAGGAAGGCCCCCGCATCCTCCCTGGGAGGGTGTGCCTGTTACTTACAGACCAGCCTCTGGTCCACACATCGGCCCCCAGTGGGTTTGGTCTGTGGGCCCTCCAGGCTGGGGGCCAGTGGGTGACCTGTGGGAACCTCATCAGGCTGCTGCCTCCTGCCTACCCCATGCCAGGCCTTTCCTTTCCAACTTCCTTGAGCTCCGGCAGATCTCTGAACAGCCTGCAAAGAAGTAAGCACCATCACTGTACTTTGGAGCATACCACTTCGCCAATACAAACAGGGTTTCTTTTTCCCCCCTTCTCTTTTACCAAATTTGGTCATCTGTCTTATCGCTGGCTCTGGCCTCTGGCAGCTGCCACACGCGCCAGTGGTTTGTCGCAGAGCCTTGGCTCCTCTGGTTTGACGATTTGTCGTTTGGGTCTATGTGGCAAAAGGGGTAGACGCCAAGAAACACATGTTTAGGGAATTCAAGAAGGAGCAAGGAAGTAGATCTGATCCTTGGGTAATTGGTCTGTTAGGCCGAACACGCCTTTGGGTGCTCACTGCAGCCCCACAGCCAATTTTTAAGTACTGGTGACCTCTTTTGAGGTCGATGTGTGAATGACTATGATAAATGTCTGGTTTGGGAAGGTCAGGGTTTTCTCTTTGCTTGCTCTGCCCCCCGCCCCCCCCCATCCCCCGCCGGTTGTTTGGGATCTTATGGAAAAGCACAAACCAGAAAGAAAACAGCTTCCAGGATGCGCGCGGTGAACTTGTCAACAGGATGCACGGTGAACTTGTCAAGCGTCGGGTTACTGCGGCCTGTGGCTCTAGGGCTGCACTGGGAGAAAATCCATGTGGCCCTAGTGATCTCCAGTGCATTTCCCTCGAATGCTAAAATGTCCCCGCCCTTGGTGCAGCGGTGAGCGGAGGAGAGAGGTGCAGAAGGAGCAGGCTGGGTAGTGTGGCAGGCCACGTGTGTCCTGGGCCCGGAGCAGTAACTGCATCTGCAGGGAGCTGCCACTGAGCCAGAGGCTCCGGAACAAAACAAGTCCTGGACTCTTGAGTACGCGGTTTGGGAAATTGAGCGATTTTGTAGGCGGGCTCTCCGCACGCGCCTTCCCCAGTGACTCAGGGGCTGTGGGAAGGCCGAGCGCTGGCTCAGCGAAAGATCCTTGGAGGAGGATCTGCATGGTCTGGAGCGAGCTCTACAGTGAACATGAGGGCGGTAAAACAGCCTGGCCCCGCAGGCCACAACCATGCTTTCCAGCGCTCGCCCCAATCCCGCTGACCCGGAGAAACTTAGACATATCCTGTTGCCTTGCTGGGCCTTACTCCTGTGGTATTGATTAATTCTCCCAGCCCCAGTATTCTTCCCACCGCAAATGCTGTCGCCATTACCCCAGGGTGAGTCACATGAGACAAGTTTTGCGCTGTGATCAAACACATCCCGTTTTCCAGTGTGGTTTATCATACTGCACCCTAGTATTCGTTTCCGTTAAGTTGTGGCATCATATACCCAAAAGAGCAAAGCTAGAAATCTAGCATCTTTAAAAATCATTTCAGTTCTAATCAATGTCACATAGAAAGGCTAAATGCATACAATACAAAGGGAGCTACTAAGTCAGTTTTGGAGATTCATGTAGGATCATTTGTATTTAGCACCTTTTTTAAAAAAAAAAAAGCATAAGATGTATTTTAATGCACGTGGAACAATGTCTCTTTAAGGTTGTTAAATGTTCCCTAAAAGCCATGTTTACTACCCTTTGCTAAGATTAGCCCCGTGTTCCCTCCAGGTGCATAAACTCTAAATTAGTCAGGTCCAAATTAATGCGATTTTATCATATTTGCTTTTGGAATGTGTTGAGCAATTTGATAATTCTCGAATCAGCCTAAACTGGGGAAATAAGTCTGATATGATCTATGAGACTACATATGAACCATGGATTTCTTTATCTAACAAGTGCTAGGATACATAGAGTTAAACTGAAACCCAAATATGATTTCCTGAGGTCTTGAAGGCTAATATGTCCCACATTAGCCTTGAGATGGGAAGAGCCCTTCATAACAGAAGAGAACACATGCCAAATCTGGTATCTTAAAGCTGTAATGTAGACTCCAGCCTTCTGATTAAATTCTTTGGATATTAAAATTTGGTTTGACCTAAATTCAAAGTGACTTGATGTTTTATTTTCCAGCAAACTTCAGGGAATTCCACACCAAGACAGAGGGGCTGTATCTAAATCTCTCTTTTAAGACACTCATGAAAATACATTCAGTGCTCAGTTTCCACCTGAGGAAATGAACAAAACAAGTTGGATTCAAATGGCAACAAGAACAACAACAACAACAAATAAAATTAGGAAATTCTGTAATTAGACCTCAACATGGAAATATGTTCTAAATAATTCCAGCAATTGTGGTCAAATAAAGAACAGAAATGGCAAAGCATTTCCATTTTTGCAGGAGCTGGGTTTTGGGTTCTTTCCCTGCATTCATTAGCACCCTAAAATGTTAATGCTGGAAGAATCATTAGTGACGTGGGCTCCAGTCCCCTTTAGAGAGGGGAGGGCCACAGGTTGGCCAGCATTAGAAGCCTATTAGTGGGAGAAAGGGACTGTAACCTAGGTCTTAATGAGCTACCACGTGGCCGAACAGCATGACTAATAGGCACTTTTGAGAGGTCTGCGGGATCACATTAACTTAGGCCTCTTGGGCTAGTACTGGGAGGCAAAGGAATCCAAAGCCACCATTCTTCCCCATGTGTGTCTTTTCTCAAGACATCTTCTGTTGGTCTGATTTCCTGGACTCAGGAAAAGAGTTGAGGGAAGAGGGAAAAAAAGAGACAAAGTAGGACCATTGAGAGGAGAGGTTCTTCTGCACACATGTAGACTCTCCCTCCATCTCTAATAGGAGCTCTTTAAAGAGTAAATGATTAGCTTGTTAAGTGAGGTCTTATGGTTTGTGTTTAGATGTCCCCCCAAAGGCTCATGGGAATGAGGTGGGGCTATTTTGGAGGTGGCTGAATCTAGAGTTCGTGATTGATTCCTGGTGGGGCTAGGCCTGAGGGCACTTGGATTAAGGGCGTGAGTGCCACCTGCCCTAAGTAATCTAAATAGGATAAAAGGGGCAGAAAGATGGTTTTAAGGTCCCTCTTGTTGCTTTTACATCTTCCAGTTGCAACCACTCTGCCTTGGAGCCAGCGGATCATGGACTGAAAGCTCTACAAACTGTGAGCCAAATAAACCCCTTCCCCTCTAACTGGGTGTCGAGTATTTTGTTTCAGCAATGAGAGAAAAATAACTAACATAAGGTAAACAGGAACAATGTCAGGTCACTAAGGAGCAAGTTTAGGGTCAGAGTGACATGGAACAACCAGCAGGCTCTCTGGGGACATAGGCATGCAGGACCTTCAGCCCTACTGAGCAGGAAGCTGAGGCAGGGACCGAGGGGCCGACTGTGGCCCTTCTTCATTCCTTGAGACTCTGGGAATCATTGTTGCCCATGCAAGGCTATGAGCCTCCAGTTGAATTCTCTTTCTAACCACAAGGAAACTGAGGCTCTGGGAGGTTTAAAGGCTTGGCCCAAGTCCTAGAATCATTATCAATGAAGTCAAGACTTACATCCAAGTTTTATAATCATGATTTGGGGGCGGATGTTTCTACCTTTCCAATTTCCAAGCCAAAAGACCCCCAAAACCAAAAAACAAGCTGGAACCCTGTCTGTGCTGTTCACCAAAATACAGGGCAGCCACATAGTAGATGCTAAGGAAGCATTTGAAGAATGAGAGAAAGAAGTGCAGGTCTCTGTACTGGTTGGGTCCAAGGAGAGACTCCCAAAGTACAAAATTCCCAGTTAGAGTCCTGAGCCGCTCCAGGCTGGAGGCTGAAAACTCTATTCTGGGGCTAGCCTTTGTAGATAACCAAAAAACATCTAAAATCAAAATGTTGGTATTGATCTTGTGGAAAGTCAGCCACTTCCCTCTAGTTACAAGGGTTCAATGAATCCACATTACAAACCTACGGTAGCAGAGACCAGGTGTTCAATAGTCATCCAAGGCGATGTTGCTGCCCATGGTGAACTCTGTCCCTCAGCTTCAAGGTCCACCCCAGTTTTCTGACCCCGCCTTTGCTGATTTCTCTGGACCAGAGCTATCGCTGCACAGTGATGTTTTGGTGACTGACTAACTACAGAGAGGGTGACATCGTGACATCGTGGTTGTCTTAGTTTATGTAAGTGCACTCAGTCCTTCACACAGTGACAGAGTCCCCACCTTTAAGCAACACAAGACTGGGTATTATTCTTTAAAGGGAAATGAAAATGCTAAGAAAAACAGTGATGCTGGGGATAGCCCTCCAAGCCTTCTCTACATCTTGTTCTGCATACAGGTGAACAGGACAGGGGAGGAGTCCACAGGCCCCACAAAAGGGGGTGCAGGTGGCACAGAGCAGGTCAGAGTGGGGGACACAGGTAGCTCTGCACACGAAGGTCCATTTCACACGGTGAACCATACACAGATAGATGTCTTTACCCTTCGAGAAACTTCCATGGCTCCATCACCAGTCTGGAAAAGGAAGAGTTCATGAGCCTGGTGCTCATGGCATCTGCAGGCTTCCCGGCTGGTTTCTGGGATGGGCATGAAAGTTGCCCTTCACCCTGGATCCACCTCCCATCGCCTCAGTCCCTCCTGCAACTCCTGCACTCACTGATCTTCCCCCACATTTTACTTCTAAAATTCTTCCCATTCTCCAACTTCCAGGTTGCCTCTGAGGCCTGTGGGAAAGTGCTCCCTCCTGAGCTGGAGGGTGTAGTGTTTTGGTTTTCAACGTGTGAGAAGACCCTGGGTATCTACTGCCTTGGTTTGGGATCTTTGAGGTTGCCTTTGATAGCAAGTTATAAATCCTTGAGTCATAAACTCTGGAGGCTCCACCTCATACCCTTCTGCTCTCCCCCTCTGTGCCCCCGAGTGGTGGGCAGTGAGTAGTTTCCCATGAGGGGATTAGGGGGTGAGCAGCAGGAGAGGAGGAAGCTCCTTGATGGCCAGGTGAGCAGAGGGTCTGGTAGCCATGTTGCTCTGCAGGTGCTATGTGAACTGCCATTTTCTCCTGTCTCTGGCTGCTCTTAGGAACATGGAAGTGTCTGTGTCCCTGGAGCAGCACTGGTGACAAAGGCCATGAACTCTTGGCTCTCTGGGTCGGCAGGGCCTGATGTCCTCGCTGGTCCCCAGCCTGAGCCACACAGTACTTTCCTTGCTGGTTTGGAAGAGCAGAGGGCTGAGGGTCTTCCCAGCAAGGTGCTCTTGAAGTCCCTGTGTAGTGAGCAGCTAGCCCTGGCCATAGCTCTGTGCATGTGTACGTGTATGTGCACTTGTGTGTTCATGGGGGGACAGACCCGTGGACACCATGGTATTGAACTAGACCCTGGCTGGGAGGTGGGGACCAGGAAAGGCAGGACTGCGCTGGGAACCTGCACCCTGAGCTGGTGCCGAGAAGCAGAGGTGGAGTGGCCCGATTAGGCTGGAGCTTCCGGTGGAGGATGTCACAATCCCCTTTCGGTCATTATAACAGAACACAAGAGACAGTAATTCATAAAGAAAAGGGATCTGCTTCTTACAGTTCCGAAGGTAGGAACCCAAGGTGGAGGCCCCACCTGGGAGGTCAGTAAGGATGCTCACAAAGTGGCGCAGGTGTAGCCCATGGTGACAGAGGAGCCACGAAGGTCATGCTTCTGTAACAGCCTGTACCGCCCAGCCCACGAATCTGTGAATCCATACACAAAGGATTCATCCACTCTCAGGGCTGGGTCTTCCTGACTCAATCTCCAAAGATCATTAGGTATAACTCAGGGATTAAGTCCCCAGCACGTGGATTCAGGGGCCAAACATCCGAACCGCAGTGCCATTTGAAGTACAAGGGTGGGGACACATCAGAGAGGACTTAGGAGCTTTGAACTGCAGGAAGGGAGCCACGTGACTCTGGGAGTCCACTCTGGGAGGCAAACTGTTCTTCTCTGCTGCAGGATTAACTGCTCTTCGTGCTGGCTTCTTATTTATAAAGTGGGACACGGCACCTGCCTTCTACAGTCATGGTAAAAATTTCATCGTATGAGTTGTCAAATCACTTTTTGTGAAATGAAAGATAGATAAAATTTGACA